TCTCAAGATTATTTTGGCTATTCAGGGTCTTCAGTGGTTCCATATAAATTTTAGGGCTATTCTAGTTCTGTGAAAAAAATCCATTAGTATCTTACAGGGTTTGCATTGAATCTGTAGATTGCTTTGGGTAGTATGGACATTTTAATGGTGTTAATTCATAATCCTTTTGCTGGTGGAGGACTTTGCCTCAGTGTTGATGAAATCACGGTCTCTGTGAAGTTCATTTAGAGTGAAGCACAGTAAAGCAAAGCACAATAAAACGTGGTACGCCTGGACAGTAAATCTGCAAGCATTTATGGCATGTTGGTTACATGCTAGACACTGTACTGTGCTAAGTCCTAATGATGGACATCATTGACTTCAAAGAACTTAATTCTAGGACAGTATGGAGGTGCCCCCCAAAATGAAATAAAGCACAGCAATAAATCCCAGCTTCTTTTTGGATAAGGAAAGGTCATTTGTGGCAGGAACTAAAGCTGAAGGGCAAACCAGACTGGGCATGAAAGGCTGTATATCAGGCTGAGAAATTTGAGCTTTATCTTGGGACTCGCCCTTAGCAATTTTAAATAGGAGAGTAGCATAGTCTGATTTACCCCCTCTGAATTGATTTTTTTAATCCTCACCCAACGATATTTTTCCATTGATCTTTAAAGAGAACAGAAGTGAAGAGAGAGACATCGATTGGTTGCTCCCACATGAGTCCCAACCGGAGCCAGGGATCAAACCTGTATCCCAGGTACATGCCCTTGACTTGGAATCAAACCTATGACCCTTTGGTGTGCTGGCCACCACTCTAACCACTGTGCAGCCCCAGCCAGGGCTGAATTCTGATTTTAAATGGTGACGTGACCTCATGTGTTTATCAGTTGCTGCCCTTAAGCTGACGTGCCAGTTGTAATATTTTCAGTAAGAGAAAACTCAAAATGGCATAAAGTCAACATGGAGGAACCTTGAAGATATAGTGAGCTAAACCAGTCACGAAAGGACAAATACGTATGATCCCACTTAAAAGAGGTTCCTACAGTAACCAAATTCATAGGGACAAAAAGTAGAATGGTGGTTGCCAGAGACGGACGGGGAAGAAGGATTGGGATATGGAGTGTGCTTTACAAGATGAGTTCTGGAGATGGCGGTGAGGGTTGCACAACAATGTAAATGTACTTAATACCACTATACTGTATACTTGAAATTGGTTAAAATGGTAAATGTTATCTATTTTACCACAGTACAAAAAATTGTCCCCCAAAATGGCTTACACTAAATGGAAAACATTATTTCATAACAACTTCATTGTTGGAGTAGCTTCAGGGTTGGGCGAATTCATGGTTTCAGCGGTAGCATTAAGAGACCCAGGTTGTCTTCATCTGTCTGCTCTGCCATCCTCCACACATCAGCTTCATCCTCAGGCAGTTCCCCTTGCAAGACATCTGCCCCCGGCAGAAGTTACTTTCCAACACGACAGCCATGAAGAGAGACCGCCTTTCTCCATCTCTCTTTTTAAGACCAGGAAAGGCTTCCAAAGTCACGTATTGCTCAGCATCTGCATTTGAATATCTAACAGCCATTTCATCAGCAGCATGGCCAGCACTGAGCTCCCGATGTCCTCCTACATCCCTCCTCCTCACTGTCTTTCCAGTCTCATAGTGGCAAGCTCTCTTTTCGTCACAAACCTTTGGGCCATTTTGGACCCCTCTCCTTATGTCAGACCCTATATACATCAACAAATTATTTTCTTTTGACTCTGCCTTAAAAATGTTTTCAGACTCCGCCTACTTTTCACCACCATGACTTTGCTCTGAGCCACTTCCGTATCTTCCTGGGTTATCGCAGTAGTTTAACCGGTCTCACTGTTTCTGCCCTTGATCACTTATTCATTGAAAAAAAAATATTGGAGCCCTGACCGGTTTGGCTCAGTGGATAGAGCATCGGCCTGTGGACTGAAGGGTCCCAGGTTCGATTCCGGTCAAGGGCATGTACCTTAGTTGCGGGCACATCCCCAGTAGAGGGTGTGCAGGAGGCAGCTGATCGTTGTTTCTCTCTCATCGATGTTTCTAACTCTCTATCCCTCTCCCTTCCTCTCTGTAAAAAAATCAATAAAATATATTTTTTTAAAAAGAAAAAATATTGGAATTTTTAAATATGTGCCAGGTATTGCTCCTGGTCCTAGCAGTTCTGCAGTGACTAGAACAGATCAAACTCCCTGACCTCTTGGAGCTTTCTTTCATTCTGTTCTCAAAACAGCAGTCAGACTGATCTCTTTCAAATACAGTATAAGTCAGTCATGTCTCTCCTTTGATCAAAATCCTTCGTTTCACCTGCCCATGCTAATCCTATGTACCTGTAACTGAAGATGAGGAAAAGTCGGGCTTAACATGACGTTCCTGTTCTCTACTAAATGCTGCTATGCCACAGCCTAGTTCAGTTTGAATGTGCATTTTCAAGTGGGAGAAGGGGAAAGGGAAGAATCGTTTCTGGCAGGTAGGACTCTAGAAGTGGAAAGCACTGAATTGAGTGACTCCAGAGGCATCTGTGATAGAGTGATCATTCTGCCTCTCTTCCCGCTCCCCCTGCCTTCTTTCACAGAATTCTTTGGGCAAAATAGAGCTTTTAAAACATATTGAAACCTCTGTTAAATGGATGTTTTTTTAAATTGAGATATAATATACATGCAATAAAATACATTTTAAGTGTACTGTGTAATTAGTTTGTGCATGTGTATGTTCCCATGTAACTACTAATTCAGATCAAGATACATTTTGAGAACTCAGTCCATATTAGCTTCCAAATGTAACCAATATTCTAATTTCTGTCACCATAAAATTAGTTTTGCCTTTTCTGATGGAATCTTTTTTTTTTTTTTTAATGCTCACCCAAGGTTATTTTTTCCATTGATTTTTAGAGAGAGTGGAAGGTAGGGTGGAGGGGGAGACAGGGAGATACATAGATTGCATGTACCCTGGCCAGGGCAAGGATTTAACCTGGGAATCAAACCCTTAGGCCAACCCTCTATCCACTGAGCCAAACTGGCCAGGGCAATGGAATCTTTTATATCTAGTTTCTTTCATGCAAAACAAGGTATGATACTTACCCATGTTGTTGCAGATAGCTGTACATTTTTCATTGCTGCACAGTATTCCTTTTTTTTTTTAAAATACCACAATGTATCTATTCTATTGATAGATTTTGGGGATATTATGAATACATGTCATTTGTTGGATGTAAGAATTCTTTTCACTTGACAATACAAATGCTGGGTCATTGGATATGCTGATGGATAGAGGATCTGATAAAGTGTCCGTACCCCTCTGAGGGTTTTGAGAAATCTTCCTGTATTCAGTGGTCTGAGCTGTACTGCCTGACACATTAGTCTTCATGTCTTCTCCTCGCTCTAGCCCAGGCCACAATGTTGAACTGAAGTAATGATTAGAATGCAAAAACAAGGTGATGTTGTACAAGGTTATGAGTAACAGCAATCCTTGGATTAAAAGGGTAATTCTCTAGTGACCTGTTATCACAAGATATGGTTCTGTTAGCCCCATTGCATCAGTTCCATTTAGTACCTGAAAACTTTTGAAGGGGGTAGGAGATCCTATTCCTAAATAGCAAACGTTTAGGCCAAAGAATTAGGCCCGACTTGAGAGAACTAACAGTTAACTTGATTTCATGCACAGTACCGATCACTAGCAATACAAAGTGATGAACAAGATACGTGGAGCTTACCCTGCATTAGAGGCAGACCAGCCATCACGGTCCATTGTGGAGGGCAAAGCACTGTAAGGAAAACTCTGGTTTTCATTTACGTCACACAAAGTGCTCTGAATACGACCACACTACCGACCTGTGACATACAGGTTTCCACACGTAGGCAGTTCTGCAACACCAGCTGGGTGTCCTACAATTTAGCTCAAGTCCGACGCTATCTCCCTGGAGATAATGACAGATCTCACAGCTGAAGGGCTCAGTCGCACAAGACTGCTCCCACTTCAGATTCCAGTCACGAGTCTAGGTTGTTACCTGTGCTTCTAACCAAAGGGCTATAAATTGTAGGTTCCCACAACTCCCTCCTGAGGTTCAGTTAATTTGCCAGAGGGAACAACATGAGGAAAGAGGCAGACACTCACAGGAACTTAGAAGAATTAAAAATTCACTCCAGCCTGGAGCGTAGTGTTTAAGGAGAGAGTAGTTGCAGAAGATGGAAATATAATCAGATACTAGATCATGAAAAGCTTTAAAACAATAACAATAACAGCCAGTGTTTCTGAGGAATTGGCCTTTTCCAGGCTCTAGACTAATCACATTTCATGGACTACCTCCTGAATTCTCAGCATCCTTAACACATAGGAACATCGTTACAGACGATAAAACGACAGGTCCGGGCCTTCTCTAACGGATCAGAAGCCCATTCTCTTCACCACCCTCTAAGAGACTGTTACATAAGCCATGCTTTATCTTCCTATGGGCTCAGCTTCTTGGTGGCGGTGTACTTTGGATCGACTTAAATTAGCTAAAGTTCCTGCAATGTTTGCAAACATAAAACTGGTATAAATTTTTGGTGCTTATACTGATCATGTATCAAATCAATTAGTAAAAACAAAACTATAAATTAATGCAACTTAATTTCCTTAGTCTTAAATGTGACTGATGATATTTTGCTGAAGTTGTCGCTCGCGAGGAGTAAAGTGCAGCATACCTTTGTTCCTGGCGCTCTGTGGAAACCCCATTTTCCGCACCTCTGGTCTCTGCTTCCTAGAAAGCATACTGCTGTTGGGCTTCATTGGAGTGAAGACATCTCACATACGCAGCCTCTGAAAGACAGCACCTTGAATTCAAAATAATAGAAATGGTCCAAACTTATTAAAGTAAGATTCAGTCTGAAACGCAGTGTGGTCTGTGAGTGGGAGAGGGGAGAGTGGCTAGGAGGGAGTGTTTGGTGGCTTTTGAGGGTCACTGTGGTTATGAATAGTAGAGATTCTTACTTTTATAGTTTTGCTTCTTCACAGGGGTTGGCACCAGGAATTATTACAGAAAGATTGGCTACCGGTTACAAGGCCCGTACATGGTGAAGATGCTAAAATATTAGCCCCAAAAGTCCACCTGATGCAGTGTTTCTGGCAGGAAGTGGAGGTGTCTTGCATATTCAACAGAGAGGCTGAGCAAAGCAAATGGACCTACCCTGTCCCCTTGGCGAGAAGCTTCACCCTCATCCTGCAGCTGCGGAGACTGGAAACTGCTCTCGGCACGACCGCGCGTCTGGTGACCAAGCATGGAGCCTCTGGCGCTCGGCGCTCCTGTGCCCCGACCTGTGTGTTGTCAAGAAGTCACTCCAGTTTGCAAGGCTAAGTCATGTACCCAGTTTCTCAATTCTGCATGTGGCCAGCAAGTGACTTACTCAGACTGACAACAGCAAGTTAGTCAACTCATTTGGGTTCCATACTTCATGAAATAAAACTAGGTGGTGGGTAGGAGCAAAGTTAGGAGAAACTTATTTATATGGTATAGGGACAAAAAGGCAGGTTGAACACGTGAAAACTGACCGATTTTGACCTCTGGACTTGAACACAGAAGCATTCCAGCACACGAAAATGAGCTTTTCTTCCATTGCAAGTCATTCTGGTTTCTGTGATGTTGGCAGTAACTGTGACGGAGAGAGGAATTGACATATGTTTATGTTTCAAGCTTGAAACCAGCCCTTTTCATTCTGTGGTGGGCCATTACGAACATCCTTAATTTCCCAGTTTTTTGTCTCTACTTCCTACTCTCTTTATAACTGCAGAACAGCGTGGGCAGCACCTACGCCCAGAGAAACGATTGGCTTCTTCTGTCTCTCCTGAGCAGGCGGAGTCGGGCATACGTGTGTCTTGGGTTGCGTGGCCCTAAGTGAAGATGCCCTCCCACAGGAGCTGTTCCCTGCATTTTAATTCTTTAAGATGAATTTCCGTTTGCTTTAAATGGATAAAGATAAGAGTTCAGCTCATATGAAAGCAAAACTAAAAACGGTACTGCAGAACGGGCCCAAATCTAAAGATAGGAAAAAGATCGGCTTCTCGCAGCTCCACCTTGTTGAACTGTCTCGTAAGTCCCAGGTTATCTAAGGAGACTCCGCCTGGAGAGGGTCAGTCCATGAGAGCATGCCTGAAGCCTGTGCCCCTCGGCTTCTGTGGCGTTTCACAAGGATTATTAAATGGGATTGATTCTTCTCAGAGGCACAAAAAATAAAATCGACAGACAGAAGAATCATGTGAGGGGTTTTCCTCTCCCTGTAAACGCGGTGGCATTTGCTGTGAATATACAGGGTTGTTTCCAGCCTGTGACACTGTTCCCTCCCCCTGGGTGCCGTCTGCCATTTCATTCAACTGCCACGAGGCCAATGCACTGCCTTCCATGGGCTCGGTGGAGCCAGAGGCTTTCCATGAGCGTAGTTTAGGGCACTTAGCTGCTTCTCAATTATGTGTGTGTTTCCTTTAAAAATAAAACTGTTACGCTAACAAAGCATATACTGTGATGGCTGTTAGCACACATGACGAGCTAGAAGGGAGAGCGTGCTGGCCCAGGCTTGCCTCCACTGAAGTCTCTGCACCTCCAATTTCTCATCTGTCCTACTTAACTTCATGTGTCAAAATGTGTAAGGTGCAAACAAGTCCTTTGTAAAGTTGTAAATGGACTTTCACATGTAAGGTTCATTGTAAAATGACAGTTTAGAGCAAGTTTTTAAGACATAATTGCCTGTTTCTAATGGATAAGTCATTGTTTCATCTGGATTTTCATCTCAGGGCTCAGGAGCACCTACTAGCTCATCCTCAGCCGTCCTAGGAGTGAGTCTCCTAGCCTTGAGCAAAGATGCGGAGCTTCTCAGGCTTCCCGGGGTGCAGCCCCTGCAGCGTTCTGTCACCAGAACCAGCTTCTCTGCTGACTGCCAAGGACCTCTCCTGGCATTCGTGGCGCTTGGCACTCCGGGGGGCTGGCCGGCCTGGCCCTCCCAGAAATGGCTGCTCCTCAGTAGAGCAGCCGCCTCATAAGAAAGATCCATTAGGCAGGACCCTGCGGCCTCTGTATTAAACCTTGAAAGCTGCACCTTGGGTTCCTGATCTGTATCGAACAGCTGAGCAACCACCTCAAACCAAATAGCTCTGCTCAGTTCAGCTTCTTGTGATATCGCCTGGAGAGTTAAAAAATAAAATAAAATTAAGAACAGACTGAAATCTATTTGAATAGAAAATGAGATTTAAAAAAAAAAAAGATCCATATCACCCAGTGAAAGAATAAAGCTCAGTTTCTCAAATGTGGGAAAGAATGAACCCCCTTTAGAGGAAAAAATTTCCACAGGCTCAAAAGAATCCTGAGATGGCCCGGCCGGTTTGACTCAGAGGACAGAGTGTGGCCTGCAGACTGAAGGGTTGTGGGTGCCATTGCAGTCAAGGTCACGTACCTCAGTTTCAGGCTTGATCCCCAGCCTCAGTCTGGGCGCATGCAGGAGGCAGCATACCGATGTCTCTTTCACAGCGATGTTTCCCTCTTGGCTGTGTCTTCCCCCTCCCTTCCACTCTCTGAACATCAGTGAAAAGTATCCTTGTGTAAGGATTAACAAAAAACAAAGCCTGTTCTCTAAAAATATCCTTCAAATTGCAAATTTTCATTTCCAAAGATATTTTTGTGAGACTATCATTAAATTGAAAAACATCCTATCTAATAAAAGAGAAACATGGTAATTGGCATACGACCGCTACCCTTCCCATTGGCTAATCAGCAAGATATGCAAATTAACTGCCAGCCAAGATGGCGGCTGGCAGCCAGGCAGCTGACACGAACAGGGAGGATTGCTTGCTTCAGTGACAGAGGAAGCCAAGCTTCCGCGCCTGCCTTGCCAACCCCCCACCTGC